TCGGAGATTCGGTGATATTTCTTTCTAAAAACAAAAACTGAAATAGTGTTCAACATAACCTGCCTCAGCACGTTTGCGAAAATCTATTGGTTCCTTTGAGAGGTTTTTTTAAGAGCACTCGGCTAACCTCCAGGTACGATTTCCGTACAGCTCCATACATTAATTATGTATGCAACTATGTCAAACCATCACATTATACTCAAACAGCAATCGTGAAAAGAACGAGTCAGTCAAAAAATTGCATGCATAATTAATGTATGGGGTGGTGCAAAAATCTTGCCAACCTCCCTGTCAAAATAAGAGAGCCCCTCTGCCAGTTTTGTCCTCATAGTATAACTTCCACTGACAGAATTGCTATGATAACGATGACAACCACAAAGCCCTTTGAGGTGTATTGAATAGGCCGCAAAGCGCTTTAAGGTGTTTTGAATAGGCCACAAAGCGCTTTGTGGTGTGAAAAATTGGAAAAACCAAATTATTCCAGAAAATAGCTGAGATATTTGCGAGTCAATGAGCCATCCAGTTTTCAATATTAAATCCCAAAATAAACCACATAGCGCTCTGTGGTGTTTTGAATAGGCCACAAAGCGCTCTGTGGTGTTTTCAATGGGCCACAAAGTGCTCTGTGGTTTTTCGACTACTACTGCTGTTTTGTAAGGCAAAGCAGACTAGGAACAGTTAGAAAGCACTCCGGCCATAAAATCTACTCGACAAGAAACTTTCTGTAATAAATGTTTGATGCTACAAGAGACGGCTTACCCAAAAAGGTTCAGTCAGTCAGCCTCAACAAACCTATACTGAGAAGAGGGCTTTCGTGAACCAGATTTCATGTGAGTGACATGATTGGGAATAGAAAAAATATTGCACAGATTGAGGGGTAGTTTTACAGCACCGAAACTAAAATTGGTTACACTGCTTCTCAGAAATTTTGTTTTGCCTCTGTAATATCATTGAACGACCTGAATGATTTGAGAATAATCAAAGCGCGGAGTTTAATATTGGCTGGCCGGGAACACGTAGTTCACAAACCGGAGAGCAACCACTGTTTAAATCTTCGATCAAACTTTCATGTTGAATTTGAAACCGAAAATACACTAAGCGGTTAATTTCCGATAGAAGTCTTGTGAGGTAAATGCAATTCTTACAAATAGTCACTGCACATTTACGTTCAGAGTTACTCTGGTTCAGAGTAAAGACATACAAAGTCAAATACTGCTTCTGTACGCTACCCCTCGAAAAATCAATTTTGCTCGAAGACCGAACTGCAACGGAGTTTAGTTACCAGTCTTATGCTGCATGTTATTAGATAGAACACATGATATGATTGGCTCCATATATCACATTACGTCAGAGGACATGTCTGCCACGTGGGACAACTGCAACGGTACAAACAGCCACAGTAACAGTCTGACTACTACAACATTTACCATTTATTTTGCCACAAACATCATTTTCACCAACATCATATACATATATCATACCACAAACATTGCCACAAACATTATCTATCATATCACATACCCTGTTTCAAAAATTACCATTTATCACACTCCAGACAACATAACCACAAATGCCATCTATCATACATCTACCCCATTTCCATTTTTAGCATTTGTCATCTATATTCCACCAACACCATTACAGCAGTCATTATTTATCATTCCACAAATGCCATTGTCATAAACATCCTCTATTATACAACCTATCACATTTCCCCTTCCATTTGAAAGGGAATGTAAATCTTGGTATGGCTGAGCACTGCCACAGGTATTACTTTTCATTCTCCTTTAAAAATGCATTTCATTTCAGTTTGCCAACACTTTGCCTTATTTTTTTTTATTTCCTTGTCTCTGATTTAACTTTAATTCTGAACAGTGTTTGACTTTGCTTCTGCTTTTTTACGTTGGCTTTCACTTTGCATCTTATTTGCATTTCATTTTACATGTACACATGTTATAAAGCTCAAAAACACGTATAGAATTAAGTATTTCTGGCACATGATCCAGATTGTTCATTTTTTTAGCCCCAAAATTGCAAAAGTCTGTAGAGCCTGTAATCAAGAAGAAACAAAACGTTGAGGACCGACCTCACTGTACATTGAACTTTGCTGAATCAAACATTGAACTCCTCTGAACACTAAAATGACTTATGTAATTAACATGACAGCCAGTAATTTTTCTAGATGGCTAGCTGAGGTCACAGTTCTCAATTTAGATTCAGCTAGTGGCTTGTTTGCATCCTTAACCCTTTAAGCTCTGATAGTGCCATATGGCACTCTTGCGTGACTGTAGCTTACTCCCGAGAGTGCCATATGGCACTCTGAGGCCTTCATGTATTGTGTCCAATCAAAAGCACTGTTATATCATTGCCAGGCTGTTCTATTGTGTTTCAACCAATAGAAAAGAGTTTTAGCTTTCATTTTACGTGTCAAACGTGGCAAGGTTTCACTAAGCATCACCATGAAAATCACAACTGAAATGTGATGGCAGCAGCTAGTGAAAGCGAAAGCAAAGAGGACACCTTTTTGGGATTTGTCAAAGAAGATCGAGAGGCTGTTGCTGAGTGGAGACTAGCTAGATTTGAAGCTAGAAACCAGAGTGACTTGGGGTCGAATATTTCCATCTCTTCTGTGGCTAGTGAAGTCCTTTCAGACTTGTCAGACTCCGAAGAGGAAGAAGAAACGTGGAATGCAAACGTAAACCCCATAGAGGCCTCACCATTCACTGCAGCTACTAGCCCAACTTCTGGCATTGCAGAGGATGGAACTGCGACTGATTTCTTTTACTTGATGTTCCCAGAAGAGCTTATAGAACATATTGTCATCGGGACGAACTGCTATGCTCAGGAATGCATTGCTACAACTCTGGACCACAAATGGTTGGAAACAACGTTCACTGAAATGAAAGCATTCATCGGTCTTCGCGTGCTGTTCGGCATCAAACAGTTGCCTGCAACGCACCTTTACTAGAGCCAAGATCGACTCATTGGCGTCCCTTTCATTCAAAAAGTGATGTCAAGAAATCGCTTCACCAAATTGTTGAAACATCTACATCTAAATAATAATGCGAATCGCTACAACTCCGGACCACAAATGGTTCGAAATAACGTTCACTGAAATGAAAGCATTCATCGGTCTTCACGTGCTGTTCAACATCAAACAGTTGCCTGCAACTTGCCTTTACTAGAGCCAAGATCCACTCATTGGCGTCCCTTTCATTCAAAAAGTGATGTCAAGAAATCGCTTCGCTAGATTGTCGAAATATCTACATCTAAATAATAATGCGAATCAAGTTCCTTGTGAAGATCCTGCCTACGACAATTTATTCAAAGTTAGACTAGTTCTTGATTGTGTCGTCCAGTGTTGTAAAATGGAACTGAGACCGCAAGAGATTTGTCTGTGGATGAAGCGATGATAAAGTTGGTTGGCTTGGAATGAAACAATATATGCCGATGAAGCCAGTTAAGCGTGGGATAAAAGTGTGGGTTTGCACCAAAGCGTTGAGCGGCTTTGTGTGCGATTTTCATGTTTACACAGGGAAGCAACAAGATGGCACGGTGGAGCAGAACAAGTTAACCCGGAACTTTACTGGCAGAAATCATCATGTCTTCTATGACAATTTTTTCTCAACAGTTAAGCTTGCCGAAGATCTGTTGGAAGACAATATTTATTTATATGCAACAGCAAGAGTGAACAGGAAAGAGTTTCCTAAAGATCTCGCTCCAAACACTCCTGGCGTCAAGTGCTTGAGACAAGGAGAGGCGCTGTGTCTGCGAAAAAACGTCATTGCAACTGCCTGGAAGGACAAAAACGTTGTTCACTTTATCAGTACCTAGAGAATTCCAACTGGAAATGACACTGTAAACCGTAAACGTGACGGAACTATAATCCAAGTACCAAGTGTTCCGGTTGTGAAGAGTAACAACAACAGCATGGGAGGAGTTGACCTTCACGATCAGTTGCGTGCTATTACAATGTTGGAACTAAGTCTGGGAAATGGTGGCGCTATCTTTTCTGGTTTTGTGTTGATCTAAGCATTGTCAATTCCTTCATCCTCGAAAAGAAGGCCATAAATCATTTTACAAGAACGCAACTCGCATATCAAGTCGAACTTGCAAAAGAACTCAGCTGGGATTTCAGTAACCGAGGAAGACCAGCTAGTTCAGAGGCTGGACACTGGCCGATTCCATTTTCTAAAGGGCGCTGCAAATGATGTCTCAAGCAAAAGAAGACAACATTTTGCCAAATGGGCTGCCAGCGCTGCAACAAGCGTGTTTGCTTGGACTGCTTTGGGAACCACATTGGTGACCTAAGCTGACACGTCACAAGCTTGCATAATTCAAAATACGGAGTACAAGTACCCTAACATTTGCCTCAAATTTTACTCCATAATCAGAACTTGAGACTTTCTTGAAATTTATTTTAATGTATATAGATTGATTCATTGACAATTTTCAGTTTTGTTAAGATTTAACTTGTATTACAGAGTTTTTTGGCTTTTTCATTGCCAAAGTACATTGTGTATCAATGTAAATAATGAACATTTTCTTAGTTGTGCAATATTTTGCTTGCTCCAATTCCCCCATGATTAACTGTGCGCTGTAGTTAAGGTTTAGAATTAAAGATTATTTCTTGCTGAACATTTTTTGTCTTGTGTTTTGACGTTCACCTCGTAGTTTTCGAGATAAAAGACAAAATGCAAGACATGGTCAAAAGAAGACGTTTTGGTTCTGCAGTGCCTGCTGGGTTCCGGGAATAGGGGTTCATGTTTCTTCAGTTTCCTGTGGAGCTTAAAGGGTTAAGTAACGGAATGATAGTTCAATTTCAGAGCAAACAATACGCAAGTGTCAGGTTAACCACAACTTTTCATGGAAATGCCTCGATTTATTTTTGGGTCTAGTTTCTGGGTTTGGTCGGTGCTTGATTTGGGAAATTGGGGGGGTGGTTGAATTTATTTAGATATGTGATTATTTTATGGTCAATGACCACTTTCACAATGACTTATTTCGAGCATCATTTCCACCCAATTATTGCCACTCTTTCCGAGAAAACCAGTTTTGCAAAGTACCGTTTGCTTTGAGTGTCAGGATACCTTCCCTTAAGCTTGTAAATTAATGTCATTTGCTTCATGTTTGGAAGACAGAAATTTTCGAATTTGACAATTTAATCTCTGCAGGGCCACCTTTTGACTTTTGAAGCTTGATCAACTATTGGCTTAATCAGTTGCAGGAAGACTAATCAATCACTTTTTTAATGAAAAATTGATATTATTACAATTGTACTAGCTAGTGCTATTTCAGGAAGTAAGGATCATTGGCAAGTAATGATCCAAAAGTGGACCTGAATTTTCTGCAGTGTTATAAAGAGCTCCATGATGGGAGATTGGATGTGTCTGCCATGCGATCATTTCCTCTGTCTGAATTCTTTTCCGTTCACGGAAGCCCTTTCTTCAGGCTTGCTATCGACACCCATCTTGTGGCCAGCAAATGCCACCAACATTTACCGAATTTACATGGCTTATAAGCCACAACCAATTTGCTCATGACGATGAGCAGCCGAGAAACTAACTTGACAATGCTCGACTAGAACTCGACTTAATATATGTGTGTGTTCTGAAAGTTTTTGCTACTAATGTGATTTTCTATCCATTGTAACATCTTACTTCGTACCCGAATATTTTCATAATTGTGATGTGTTTTGGGATGGAAGCACAAAAAACAATAGCGGTGATAAAACAGACTCCTTTGCCAGAGGCCATCGACACAGTCACCAATACAGTGGAAGGAGTTGTCCAAGGAGTCACCAGTGGAACAACATGCTGTATAGGCAGTTTCAGTTCCTCAAGAATCAAACTCAAGCTGCCGTATAAAAGAGACAATTCATCAGCTCAGCCTCGAAGACCTGGAAGAACAACCTTATTATAGCTATTGTTTTCAAACAGCCACAACTCCAGGTCAGTTTGCAATTATTGTAGATTTTCTTAAATGTCAAAAGTACAGATATCTGTTGTACAAGCACCTTTATGATGTCAGAGAAACTGATGATCCAAGTTGCAAAGGAAATCATTTTCACTTACTGCTTTATGGTACTTTCATAAGTAGCAATGGAAACCAGTTGAAACCAAGTCAGATTTACTGTTATGAATGGCTTCAAAAGTACAGTAAGTGTTATGGGATTTAGAGCCCTAGTTGTTCAATCTTTTCAAGGATACATTCAAGGATACAACTATTTGAAGAAGTATCCAAGAGTATTGTCAGCTTATTCAGATGAATTAGTTGCCTTAGCAGAATCTGGAGAACTTCATCCGACACCAGAACAACAGAGAATTAATGTACATGACTACAACGAGAGATTATTAGAATCTCAGAATCCTAAGTTAACCACACCTACGACCCCAAGAAAGAAATTTAAAGCAGACAGGTTTACCGCTGCTGATCACATGTTTTCGGAGATATTAGATCTCCTGAAACGGAGAAAGGTTCAAAGTTCTAATTAGTTATTAAAATGGGCAGCTCAGAAAGGAGAACCTTATAAGAGTTAACATCCAACTGTATGTGTTCAAACTTTAATCAGTTGTTTGAGAAAGCTATGACACAACTCAAGTTAGAAATGCAAGATCAAGCCTGGTATGAAGCGTTGTCTTCATTTTCTCCAACGGAAAAAAGTTCATGTCTATAGGAGAAAGCATTAAGCTCATTAAGGAGGTTAGCAACCACAACGGAATTCCTATTCAGTCCATTGATAAACAGCTAGATGTCACTGAGATATTTGGCATTATTTTGTCTAAGAGAAAGCCTAAGGTTAACTGTGTTGTATTGTATGGTGCCAGCAGTGCAGGAAAAACTATTTTACTTAAGTCAGCTTTCAAAGTCTTTCCTGGCTGCACCTTGCTTTACCAAGGAGTTTCAAATAATTTCATGTTTGAGTCTTTAGAAGATGCACAAGTTTGCTTGTGGGACGAGGATCTTTTCGGAGCACAACATCAGGAATCTACTAAGAAGCTTCTAGGCAGCGAGGAATTTGAGAGTGCCACAAAATACAGACGGAATGTAAAGATTAGCAGGGCAATCCCTGTAGGAATAGGTGGTAATGTTCTTCCATGGAGTTCTATCTTGACATGTGAGCACCGGAAAGCCTTTGGAAACAGATGCATTGTAGTTGAGATGTCTGAAATGCCCACCCATGCAGATTACAGCAATAAAGGCGTGATTCATCCACAAGCTTGGCTCAGTATAGACAAGCCATACTGGGCGAGAGTTAATGGGCAGGAGGAAGTCCCACAGTCACAAGAAAACTCGCCAGAATAGGAATTCAGTGGCAAAGACCACAAAGATCTGTTGTCCGTTCAAGACCCAAGTGAATGTTCCAGTACTCAAACAGTACATTGAAACATTAGAGAACTCAACTTTGACGAGCCTTTGAATAGCCAAATCATGCCCTCACACCCTGAGTACCACAAGTACAATGTTTATGGCAGCCCAATTACAAAGTCCAAAAGGGAGTCATCCTTGAAGAAACCGCTTTCATTAGCAAAGGAGTGCCAAACAACGACTGCCCACTACTTGGTTGTTCAAGGTGAGCATAGGTATACGGTGGAGATTTCTTCATGAAATAACCACCAAATACCTGTTGTCGTTCAGTTGAATTAATCTTCTTTTACTGCCTGGCTGCTGTCTAATTACTTCTTCATTTAATTTACTTAGAGAATAACTGATTGGACTTTAAGCCCTGCAGTAGCTTTGATTCTCAACTCACTCTCACTGTTGTTTATTTCAGTTACTTCAAAGAGTCTGAAAGTGGTGTATCCAGAGTACTCCATAACCATTCTGACGACTGAAGATGGGAGACCATGACATGGACAGCGATAAAGAAACAGACATCGGGCAAAAAGAGAAATGCAATGGAACGACTGGACCAGCAGGACCAGAAACAGCATTTTATCAATGCTTTAGAAATAGTCCGCGAACAAATACAGCTGCAATTAAGTTAGAATGCTACAATGTTCCTTACAATGACCAAAGTGGACCCCTAGTCTTTTAAGTGAAGTGGCTTCAGCTGGTCACACGATCAAAGTAGAAAATGTGTCGCTTAATCTGCATGGTTTTAAAGCAATGTATGAAGTGCAACTGCATGTTTAAAAAGTGGGAATGCAAAAATATGACTCATGATAATCCCACTGGGGGGGGGGGGCAGCAAGCATGGACAGAGGTCACATTGTGGATTTGGGCTGAAG